ATATCGTTCAAGTTTCATCGATAGATTCAATCTAGAATCTTGTCAAATTTCTTGAAAATTCTACAGAAGGAATTTTGTGGTGAAAATTTCCAGATTGAAACTACATATATAGAAGATCATTAACAAAAAACAGAATTTTTGGAGATCAATAACACCTTTGAACAAAGCGATCACAAAAAAAAGACTGTTGGAGGACTCACCGTTGTTCAACAGGGTCTACTGGATAGTACTGAAGGTATTTGGTTCTGAAAATTTATAGGTGGTTTTTACATACATCGAACGAAATTGATGCTAAGATTTTTTTAAAAAAAAGAAAAAATGATAACAAAAATAACTTAAAAATTTAAAGGAATAAATTAAAACAAATTGAAATTGAGGGACCAAATTAATGCTAAAGATGTGCTACAAGGAAAAATAAAAAGTTAAAGGGGTTAAATTGCAAAAATATAAATTATAAATAGGGAATGAATTGAATTAATTAAAATTTAGAGGCAAAATTACAATAGGTTACCAAAATGAATTACGCATCAAAAGTAAAGGGACTAAGGAAATAATTTAAAAATCTTATAATTACAACCTATTCCCATTTATAAATACCCCTAAAATCACCTAATTCCCTCATTTCTCACCTTTTCCCCTAAATCAAACCCCCAAAACTCTCCCAACTCTCTCCCTTCTTCCCCACTCGGCCAAATAGCGGCCAATCACCGACCTAGCCCCGCCGCAATCAATCGCCGCTCCGGCCACCACCACCGGTGGCCGAAAAAAACCAAAACCAGCTAAAATACTCTTCATGACCCCCGTGAGTGTGAAACCAAATCCCAATCACTCTTAAGAGACCCCAATCAACGTAGATCTAAGTTTTTAGGTTCGAATTTTCACCTTTTCTGGCGAGCATTTTCAACTTCTGGTGGCTGATTCCTTCTTGAAATGAGACTAACTATGCTTTTATGTCTTTTTTTGCCTATGTGAATGCTTTTCTTGGCTTTGCTTGGTGTTTCGATATTTGGTTGTCTGTTTTTTGTACACTTTGCTGCTCGTTTCTGTGTTACTTTCTTGTGTTCCCTTGATGGCTTAGTCGGAGGCTTTTTATAGCATGTAACCCGACTGTTGTAGCTCCGAAATGGGCGGGATCTCCGTATAATTCTTTTGCTGGACGTTCAGTCGAGTGTTGTTCGTGTAGGCTGTTACACCGACCTTGCAAAAATCCCGGTCGATTTTCGAACCATAGCTCCCATGCGACGCTCTTCCTTAATACGAAACCCTAGTTTGTTTTTTTGGATTGGGTCAGGCTTGCTGGCTCTGTTGGACTACACTTTGGACATGATTGGACTTGTTAAAATTTAATAAAAAAAATATAACCTAATATATAAATAATAAAAGAAATAAAAAAGAAAAGAAAAGAGAAAAATTATCCTTCCCAAAACTATATAATATATTAATATTTTCAAAAATCATTTTTAAAAACCATTTTTAAAAAACTGATTTCAAAAATCGGTTTAAAAACTATATAATATACGTTTTCAAAACTATTTTGAAAACTATATACTATATGTTTTCAAAACTGTTTTAAAAACTATATATTTTACGTTTTCAAAACTATTTTTTTAAAACTATATATTATATGTTTTCAAAATTATCTTAAAAACTATATACTATATGATCGCTTGTAAATGTATATGCTAAGAGAAGCAATTTTGTGCAAGTATACACAATCGAATCAAGTAATATAGGGTAAGTGAGTTATCGTCTCATTAGGGATTGGTCGTTCTTTTTAAGTTTCACCACAACCAGAACTAGTTGTCACAAGCTAATTCCTGAAGTCTTGTTAAACTAGAAAACTATTAGTAATAAAATAAAATAAGAAAATATTATAAAGTATGGTTGCAAACAAGTTTGGTCGAGAAAAAATAATTATGCAAACTATTAAAATAAACAAAGCAAAGACAAGCGTTGATTTAAATATATTCAAAACAACCTCACATATTCAGACATTTCACAAAGCACTCATGCTAATCTTTTGTTATGACAAGCAATTATTCTAAGTCTAGAATGAATTGTTATGATATAATTAAGCTGCCCAATAGGATTACTGAGTATTCTTAGACGGTTGTTATGGCAATACTACTCAGCGTTAACTACAACCCTTGGTTTGTCAGACTGTTGTTGTAGCAATACCTCTCAGCGTGAACTATAATCGTTGCATATCCTACTCTAGCTTTTATCCCCTTTAGTCGATTGATACCCTCTCCTTATCTCTAAGGTATACAAGTTTGAACATCACCATCCTGGATCCATTCCATTGTTCACGTAGATCTATCTTAATTCTCTCGAATCTAAGAATCAATATCTAGACAAACGGTAATCTCTCGAAGCTCTTACATTGTCAAGATGTGTTTCACCTAGACCCCAGGCAATCTCTCGAAGCTTTTATAGTGTCAAGGTAAAATATTTAAACGATTAATAAAATAGACATAAGCAAAATCCTAATTTATCATTCATAAAAAATAAAATAATTGTTTCGGCAAAACAAAGATTAACACCAAGTAAAGCAGTTCATAATGCTATAAAAAAATCAACCAAAGTATATCGTTTTAATACAACCCTAAGCAAAGTAAAGAAATTAAGAACAAAGGAAGAACGACTCCTAAAATCAGGGGCTCTGTCGTGACATCTCTGATCAACAACGTGCATGCCCTAGCGGCCAGCCTCTATCGAGGCCTGACCGTCGCTCTGCTATAGCTGGCTATAGAGGACACCAAGGATGATCGGGTTGGGAAACTGCGGGGATGCACTACAGTTGCTCACTCATGCTTCAGTTAAAGCTTTTCTTACTTTCTTGCCCCCTTTTTGGCGGCTATGGTTAGGTATTTATAAAGGGAAATCTCCTAGGGTTTTGTGTAAGTGAAGAATCCCTAAATACCCGTTATTTTCTTGTCCATTCTAAAAAAGGAAAAGTGACTGGTTGTCGTCAGAATCTTGAAGGCTTGTTTGCACGTGAGGGTAGTCGAACAACAGGCATACGATATAGGCAATTTGTCATATTCAAACTTGCAAGATAAACCTTGCCTTGGCGAGATAAATCTGCTCCTCACTGTCTTTATCTTCACTATTCCACTAGCCCTTGCAAAATACTTTGTCAAGACTGAAATGTTCTTCCTTAGTCAATTTCCTGCACATACACAATCCACACAAACCCTTTCTCCTCGGCAGCATCAGTCAAACCAAATAAATTTTGCCGAAGCAAAATGCATCCCATCACATGCAATTATAATCTAAATGCAACTAATATGCTTTGAATACTTTGTTTAGATGAGCAATAACTTAAGTAAAAAGACTAGAAATAGATTTTTTATGGAGTTATCACACCCCCAAACTTAAGCTATTATTTGTCCTCAAGCAATGGACAATAGTTAGAGAAAAAAATAAAGATTGTCATGGCAAAACAGTATTAAGAAATCATGTGGTTTGAAATTTCAGCCCTCAACAAAAGTTTGTCCTCAACATGTTTGATTGTCATATCAGTCAAGTACCTTCCCTAGTCAAGATTCCTTGCTATCGTGTGTGTGTGATTGTATTTAGTCTATGCATTAATGTAATTGGAAAACTTCAAGTAAGTGCTTATGTTTTGTCAAGGCATCAAATTATTTGTTAGGATTAGTTTCCACTCCAAGTTATTCATCAACTTTATTTTGTGAGTCAGCTCATCAGACCTACCCTCCCACACTCTAGGTGAAAGGGAACATACATTCCACCCCCAAGCTAGTCAGGTAGAGTCATCATGTGACTACTTTCATTCACTCATATGCCTCGACAACCCTTAATTTTTATGGAGTTTTCTGGTTATGCCATTACATAGAGGAGTGTCCCTTTAATTCTTCAAGTTTTAAATATTAAGGAGTTTGACCTTAACCTTAAAATTCTTTGATGTCTCAGCAAGGAGAGAGTTATTTCCTAAAAGTTTACTCATCACCTTAAGTAGAGACACCTACAATCGTGCTTATAATTTTTCAAAGAATCAAGTCTAAGGTTGGTTCTTTTCTTTCGACAATCTTAAAGATAATTCTGGCCTAAGTAATTAAATTATGCTTTCATCATTGGGCAACCCTAATCCATTCCAAACAATAGACTTAACCTATTTACATCATGAAAACCAAAATGTTTAACCAATTATCATCAATTGCTTTTTAACAAAGTGTGATGCAATACCTCCCCCAAACTTAAGGGATGTATTGTCCTCAATGCATGGAAAATTTAACTATATGTATCTAAATGCAAATGCAAAGATAAAAAGAACAAATAAAAATGTAATATTATTGTGGTGGGGTTGCTTGACTGGATGCACGCGTTCTACATCATTTTGAAGGAGGGGGACTTTTTGATTCCATATCTTCTGCTACAATCATCGAGGGAGATGGCTGAAGGACACAGTCCGGTGTTCACTTAATGTTCACTTAATGCGTCACTTAGTGCTCGAGGCTTGTGCTGGTGTTTGTTGGTCTTCAGTTGGAGTGGGTTGTGCAGAAAATGTAGTTTGTCTTTGAATTGGTTCATGAGTTGGCGTGGCGTGATGGATGGGGGATTGTTCTGGTGCTTGCTCGGGTGCGGGTTGAGAAGGGATTAGAGTGAAATATTCATTGGCAAAGAATTCAGGTGGAATCTCCTGAGTGCTTTCTGAAGTAGAGAAGGATGAGTTGAGGAATTCATCTATCTCGCTGTGACTTTCTTCTAGTATGGGCAAGACATGAGTGGCCATTGAACGTCTATGGGTACTTTTGTTGGAACATTTTGTGTCGAGACATTGAATGTACTACCGCCAGCAGTGTGTTTCAGGATAACATCGGGGAAGGGCGACAAGTCTTCATTGTTGATTGGGAGCAACTCCTTGAAAAAGGTGTTGAGTTGTGCATCCCTTACCTTGACATAGCCAAAGAAGATCTCCATGTTATTTTCCAAACGCTCGATCTTCTCATGGGTTTCTCATGTGTATGTGACCACTGCTACCATTCTGGCACGGCAATAGATTTGACTCCTCTCTCCAGACCTTCATGCGGGGCATTATCTTCAAAGCTCATTAACTCTGGCACTTTCTTCTTAGTTATTCCCTCATTTGACTTGATGAAGTCCTCGAATGGTTCCTCAGGGACTTTCTTCTTCCTGCACAGAGCAGTTATCTAGTTAGGAAATAATTTCTTTTTACACAATCATGGATTTGCTCGAAGATAATTTCTCCAACATTAATCACTCGCCCATAGATTATCATGTAAAAACATAAATCTTTTCACTAGAACGGTCGTGGGAGGTCAACATTAGCTTGCCCTTGAGAAAGTTATTCCAAACCTTCACTATCAGTTTAAGGGCTCGGTGATATACCCACTTTCTTGTCGGCGTGTTTCCCTTGGATGTGGCCCATCCAAAGCAGAGGTCTTTAAGTACTCCACTGTAAGTTTCTTGGTCTGTCTCAGTGATAAACTTCTTGTGTTGATCCTCTACTTTTCCCAACTTGAAATATCAGTTGAGTGCTGAAGGGGAAAACCAAATGAGTTTTCTCTCATATAACGGTGTGTTGGGATGGGTCTTCAAGATGGGCACAAATTCCCAAATCATTGCCGGTGCTATGGCTTTAGGATGCCGAGCAGATTTCTCCTATTTATGTTTTCTAACCACATCCATCACTTCTGGTCCAAATGATTCTTTGTTTTCTGAATGAAAAATGAAACCATCCTTCAAGTAAACTTGTCATTTTTGGAGGTTCTTGAATCGTTTGTCAGCTTCAGCCATCTAGAAACCTTCAAATCCTGCTGCTGGAGCTGGATTTTTCTTTGATCTGGCCATGATACTTGTTGTTACAGTGTTTTTCACGGTGGCGATAAAGGGGAAATTTAAAAGGAAAAAAAATTTTGAAGGAGAGAAAACGGTGTGCATAATGAGGAAGATGGAGTGTAAGTTGGTTTTTCTGGAATGTTAATGGGTGGTTTATTTGGGGAAATTTGGTCAAAACGAGTGCGGAAAAGATTTGGCGTTAATAACACCATATTTTATATAACATAAAGTGGGGAGAAGATTACTTTCTCTCTTTATAATTACCCTAAAAAAATTTGTATTAGGGTTTCTCTTCCTCCTATACGTGAGTTCTCACCCCATGTTGTCACATGTACCTTGCATGCCAACAATAACCAAAAAGAACAAAAGTAAAGTGAAAAAGATAACTAGTGAATGACTGGTATACGATGAACGGTCTTGACCATCTTGATTTTAGCTTGCCTGGAAATAATTTGTGTCGTGAATTATAGAGCAGCACTTATGTTCCATAATAAATTTTCCTTGGCAAATTTTACTATCATGCCATCATTTTGTTTTTTCTTTGCATATGCAGGCATTTTCGTAGGCTTGAGCTCTGAATTCATCCGTTTTATTTAGTTCCAAGAGTCTTCTTTCTCCAGCAAGCTGAACATCCATGTTCAATTTCTTGATGGCCCAATAAGCTTTATGTTCAAGTTCCACAGGTAGGTGGCACTCCTTACCGTAGACGAGTTTGAATGGGGACATTCCTAGAAGTGTCTTAAATGCTATGTGATAGGCCCATAGTGTTTCCTTTAGCTTTGGCGACCAATCCTTTCGGCTTGGGTTGGCCACTTTCTCAAGGATCTGTTTGACTTCCCAATTAGAAACTTTAACTTGTCCATCAGTCTAGGGGTGATATTCTATGGCTATCCGATGTCGCACTCTATATCGTTTCAATGCCTTGGCAATTAATTTGTTGTCAAAGTGTGTGCCTTTATCAGTGATGATAGCTCGCGGTGTTCCGAAACGGTGAATATGTTCTTGTGCAAGAATTTCAGCACAGTATTGGAATCATTTTTAGGTGTTACTATGGCTTTCACCAATTTGGACACATAGTCTACTGCCAAGAGTATGTATAGATCACCAAAAGATGTGGGAAAGGGTACCGTGAAATCTATCCCCCATACATCGAAGAGTTCAACCTCCAGAATGTTTTCCATGGCATCTCATGTGTCTCTGATATGTTCCCTGTTCGTTGGCACCTATCATATAACTTGTAGAATTCATGCGCATCTTTAAACAAGGTTTGGCAATAGAAACCGGATTGAAGAACCTTCGCCATTGTTCTCATCCCACCAAAATATCCTCCATACGGTGATGATTGACATTGAAGTAGAATTTCTTTGTATTCTTCTTTTGGGACACATCTTCTGATTATTTGGTCTCCACATTGATTGAATAAGAAAGGTTCATCCCAGTAATAGTGTTGCACATCATGTCTGAACTTTTTCCGGCCTTGGCTAGATAAATATGGAGGTACAATACCACTAACAAGAAAGTTGACTATATCAACATACCATGTCATAACCGTGACAAATAAAATTTTCTCATCAGAGAAATCTTCCTGAATGTCTTTCATGTTATGACAACTAATTTTGTTTTCTAGTCTAGATAAGTGATCTGCCACTTGTTTTTTCGTACCCTTTCTATCCTTTACGTCTAAATCGAACTCTTATAGTAATAATATCCATCTGATTAGCCTAGGCTTTGAATCTTTCTTATTGATCAAATATTTAATAGAGGAATAATTTGTATGCACAATGACTATAGTTCCTATGAGATATGGCCTAAACTTATCGAATGCAAATACTACTGCAAGAAGTTCTTTTTCAGTTGTGGTATAGTTTACTTGTGCATAATTAAGAGTATGACGAGTATAGTAGATAACATGAAAGAGTTTACTTTTTCATTGCCCTAGCACTGCTCCAACGATATAATCACTAGCATCGTACATGTGCTCGAAAGGTTCATTCCAATATGGTGGAAAAACGATTGGTGTTGCTGAAAGTTTTTTCTTCAAATCTGTAAAAGCATTTAAAAAATCATCATTAAATATAAATGGTTGATTTTATTGAAGCAAAAGACACAAAGGTTTTGAGATTTGAGAAAATCTTTTATGAACCCCTGTAGAAGCCTGCATGTCCAAGGAAACTGCATATGCCTTTCACATTGGTGGGTGGAAGTAGATTTTCAATTACTTCCACCTTGTCTCTATAGACTTCAATGCCTTGACAAGAAATTTTGTGACCCAAAACTATTCCCTCGGTTACCATAAAATGGAATTTCTCCCAATTTAGTACTAGGTTGGCTTCTTCACATCGTTTCAGTACTTTAGATAAGTTGCCGAAGCATCGATTAAAATTGTCGCCTGAGACGGAGAAGTCATCCATAAATATGTCCATGCATTCTTCCACCATATCTGAAAAAATGGCCATCATACATCTCTGAAAGGTTGTTGGAGCGTTACATTGCCCAAACGACATTCATCTAAATGCATAGGTACAATATGGACAAGTGAAAGTAGTATTCTCTTGATCCTCCGGTGCTATGGCTATTTGATTGTATCCTGAATATCCATCAAGGAAGCAGTAAATGCTTTTCCTGCTAGCCTATTAAGCATTTTGTCAATAAAAGGAAGGGGAAAATGGTCTTTCTTTGTGGCTTTATTGAGCTTCCTATAGTCCATACGTATTCACCAGCCCGTGACTGTTCTCGTAGTTAAAAGCTCATCATTTTTGTTTTTGACCACGGTCACACCACCTTTTACAGCATCGGACTGACCCATGAGATATGAATATTGGATAAATTACTCCAACATTGAGCCATTTTATGATTTCCTTCATTACTACCTTCTTCATGATCAGATTGAGTCTTCTTTGTGGTTCCACCAAAGTGCTATGACTGTATTCTAAGTTGATCTTGTGCATACATATGGTAGGGCTGATTCCCTTCAAGTCTGCTATGGTCCACCTGAGAACTATTATGTTGTGAAAAAACATTTAATAAACTGTTCTCCTTCTCGGAGGTTAGATTTGCTGAAATTATCATTGGTAAAGTCTCATTACTACCTAGGTAGGCGTATTTCAAATGCGATGGCAATGTTTTAAGTTATAATGTGGGTGTATGCTATCATGATGATTATGGGGGGCTAACTTCATTAAAATCTAAGGGTTCAAATTTCATACATGATCTAGCATGAAGGAAACTAGATTGTTCCTCTGATTCTTTTCATAATCTGCTTTGGTGTCATTGGCAGGGAACCTGTTTAGTAATTTGTTATAATAACTGTTGCCAAGGCAAGAGTTATCAACATCCTTTTTCTGGAATTTGTTCACATGAGCCATGATTTTCGTGTTCATGCATCATAGACATCAAGTCGTGGCACAAAGTGTTGTATTCATCTATTTTTAAAAATTCATCTTGGCCAAGATTTGTATTTTCTTCTTCCTCCATAGAGTCCATATATCTAATGAATTGGCATTCTTATGAATCGTCCACATATCTCATAGAGTTGAAGATATTGATTGTGACACTTTGCTCTCCTACCCGCATCGTGAACTCTCCCTTCTCGCAATCTATTAAGATTTGTCTAGTGGCCAAAAAGGGTCGTCCAAGGATGATAGGTGCATTTTCAATGGCTTCGTAATCTAATATGAGGAAATCATCTTGAAATACGAAATTTTCCACTTTTACAATGACATCTTATATTCTGCCCTCAGGACGTACATAAGACTGATCAACTAACTGTAGGATAACTGTGGTTGGGCAAGAGCTATACCTTTTTAGTTTTAAAAATATGAACTTTGGTATTAAAGTTATGCTCGACCCTAGGTCAACGAGAGCTCTTCCTACAAAGTTGTTACCAATTGAGCATGGTATCACAAAACTGACAGGGTCTTTTTGTGTGTGGGAGTTTGCTTACTGTAGAGTAAATTTCTGTTGCCGCGACAACATTTTCTACCCTTATCTTCCTTGTGACAATGTCTTTTAGGAACTTAGCATAGGAAGGCATCTTCTCGATGTTATCATTGTGTTTCTTGAACTGGATGTCGCAACATTTTCTTGAATTGGATGTCACCATTGTGTTTCTTCAATCATTGAGGAAATGGTGGTGGAGGTCTCGTGTCATTTGTTGTCAGTGCTAAGGAAATATTGGCCTTGGCCATAAATTTCCCATTACCTGGTTGATGATTTTTGGAGCCTTCATCCTTTTCCTTCTCTTCTAACAATCAATCATGTTCCATATCTTCAGCTCCATTATCTGGTTTTGTAATGCCTTGGCTAGAATTTTCCAGCTGTTTTCCCCCAAACTT